GAACTAAATGTACAGTACTAAAGTACTGGGACGATTTTGCGCTAATTATTTCCCAGTACCATTTAAAGAGTTGCATTCGCACCAACAGTGTGTACTAAGAAGTGACGTAAGCCGGTTGACAGCGACGTAATTTGTGCGCGGAGTTCAACAACAGAAACATAGAACAACGTTAACAACAGGAGGATGGAGGACGCTGTGATCGGAGCTGTGTTTGTTGTGTCTCGCGGGTTTCTCAATAATGGACATGGAAAGTCGACGTATACGTAAAGCGATTGAAAGAACGGAAAGGAGGACTAAGAATCTCCAACGACAACTGGCAGTGCTACATTTGCTACAAGTGCCTGCACTTCAGCGTCCGTCCATCTATCGCTGTTCTCCATACTTGCGAAATAAGTTGACACAATGTTTACAGTATGTTTACACTGCGTTTTAAATCATGGCGGGGGAGAGTGTTTTCATACGCGTTTGGCCAATCAATGTCTACTTACGTCACGATTAGTACCAGTTGTGCTGGTTAAACCCTGCTCCGGAGTAGGAGCTAATTTGGTTCTCGAAAAAGGCAGTCCGGTACTAAAATCGCACCCGGTTCCGGCGGTGCGAAAACGCCAAAAAGTGGGTAGTTCCACAATTAGTTCTGGTACTATGAAAAGGTTCCCGCAGTGCGAAAGGCCCTTATGATGATAGAATGTTCATTTTTGAGTGAACTATCCCTTTAAGAGACATTTAAGAACATTCCAGACTTCCAAAACCTGAAAGGTTGACAGTTGGGTAGTAGTCTGCACCAATATGGCCAAAAGTGGCACCTCTACAGCGGACACAGTCTTATGCACTTCATCATAGTCAAGAACAAGCGTAGGCCATGAGACCATAAGTTCACATCAAGCTCGCCATTTGGTACAAGGCCACGGGCAAGAAATCATTTCAAGACCTTCAGCTTCTGAACATGGTCTAAACCGTAAATGAAGCAACAGTAGGCTAAATTTTTTGACATTTTTAGGTCTGCTATACATTCTCCAGTGTAGCACTATCTACAAAACACATTTACATAATGAGTCACTTTTCCGCTTCCTCTTTGGGTCGTGGTTTCGAGCAGCACTTTGATCCAGCAAACAGCGATCTGAAGATGTTGCTCTTCCTCTTTCCTGTCCTGTCCTTTCCGGGCGATTGTTCGGAGAGGCATATGGACTTCCGGAGTGTGCCGATACGCCGCTCGTGTTCACGGCTCTTGCACTGCACGTGGTTCTGGATGGCAAATCCCAGGGACTCCATGTCCAGCGATGCTCCATAGACTTCCCAGGTCATTCCCTGCTCATCCCAGACGATCTCCTGAGGTTTACCGCTCTCCTCCTTTTCTCCTTCCACCCCTGCTGTTCTCCCAGAGTTGAGCAGCTTCAAGGAGTCCTCCGTCACCCTGGGCGACACTTGACAAGTTGCGTCAAATTCACTGATGGTTACTTGAGGAGGAACCGAACCAAGAGGTTGCAGGGACTGGCTACGAAGCTCAATCTCTATTTGACAGATGTGTTGAAGAGATTTTTGGCTATTGGAGGACTTGTAAGGGGGTGGACCTAGAAATCTAGGCTTGGCTCCTGTTGGTTTGGGGTCCGGTAAGGCTACAGTTGGCAACCAATCGGAGTCCGAGTTACTGTCGGGGTTGAGCTCATTGTGCAGGCCAACTTTAGGATTGAGGTCAATCTCAGGGTACAACTGGTGGGGTTGAGAATCGTGGACTGGACTCATGTCTGTGGATCTGCTGCAGACCTCCACATCCGCCTGGACCTCGACGTCAACGTACACCGGTTGCAGATCCGCCTGCAGTGCTGCATCCTTCATTTTGGTGACTGGGAAACCTTCAACTGTTATTGTCACGGCATCCTTCAAGTTCTTGGGTGTCGGAATGTTATTGTTTTCGTTCATCACAGCATCCTTCCTGACCTCAGTCGCCATTTTATCATTCTGAATCTCAGCTTCCCTCTTTCCCTCTCCTGTGTTCCTTCTCTCCTCACTCTCTGCTTCCTCCCTTCCCTTCTTTTCCCACAGTCTCTGACTCTTTCCTGCGTGTCTCTCTTGGGTCATGACATATGCGTCGGTCTTGTCTTCTTGCTCTCTCAGCTGTTTGATAGAAGGGTTTGTTGCTCGATGTGACGACGGAGAAGACGTTTCTTCACCCCCTTTGGAGTTAATCGTGATGACATCACTTCCACTAAGACCGTGTCCCTGAAGGACAGCATCCTCTCTTTCCCCTCCTTCTCTCTCATTCCCATTCTTTATCTCCGGCTCCTCTCGTCCCCGAGGATTCTCCCCCATTGCTGCTTCTGTCCCCAGTTGCAGTTTGCTCTCCACCAATGTGTCAGTCATTTTATCTTTCGGAGAAGTCAACAGCAGTCCTTCTTTGCCTGTAACTCTTCTATTCCGCTCGGTTTTGTCCACTTTGAGAGATGCAGGATGGGGCGGTTTAAGTTTGGGGCTGGAAGTGGCTCTAGGAATGTGCGAGAGAGAAGTCCGGTTGAGACTCTTGGAAGAGTCGGTAGAGGAAATCTGGGATGCAGACGATGTTTTTTGAAGCGTCTTTTGTGGGGAGTCTGTGGAGCCCACGATATGAGATGCTGAGGCAGTTTTTTGCATGTTTTTGAGAAATGTTTTCGCACTCGCTTGCAGCTTTTTCTCATGGCTCGCATTTGGGGATCTCAGTTTTGGCCCACTGGGTCCAGTTTGGCTAGATAAACTTAAGACCTCCACTCCAGGTGCAGTTGTTTTGCTTGGTGGTTTTGATCCTGTTTTAGTCATCGCAATTGTGTTAGCTATTCCCGCAGTGACCTGCTTGGCTGTCGTTGAGTGCATGGTGGGTATTTTCGATGCAGCTGTGGACGCAGGGAGGGGTTCTGTGGCTGGAATGGCAGCGGTGGCTAATGCAGTGTTTTTTAGTGTTTTCATATGGCCGGCGGATTCCCTGGAGGTGGATCGCTCCTCCTGTTCTTTAGCTTTTACTTCAATGCCATGATACTCTCCAAGTCTTGTCCTGGTTCCAGGAGAGAGGTTTCCCTTTCTGTGCTGGCTTGAGGGCTTGGACTCCCAGCATGCCTTGGGCTCATTATTTCCAGAGGGATGAAGGAAATCAGGTCGGGATTCCATGAAACTGATTATAGTTGAAGGAGACGACAATGGGAGCTCTGATTTAGTGATGTCTTAGTTGTGGGTGTGACACATCTGTGAAGAGAAAAACAGCAGATTTAGTTAAACCTTTTTTTTAATGTTTTGATTAAATTTTTTTACCTACTGTAAATAAGTCAAGATAAAACTATAAATCCCGATTTTTCATGGAACATTTACTGATTCGTTTTTCTGCTGTTTTCACAAGTGTTGAATTTTCATTGCCATATGTTCATTGATCAAACATTTTAATTGACATTGGTTTAGACAGGATTACAGGAACTATAGATTTTATGTCAGTTCAGTTATGTACTGTAAATGCACTCCTGGTGTAATGACTGTACATTTAGCACCTGATTAAACCAACCCTTTTTACTACAATTAAAACCAAAAAAAACATGGTTACTAAAGCTAAACCATGGTAACCACAAATTAACAATACACTAACAATTTACGTTTAACCATGGTATTTGAAGTAAAATTGTGGTTATACAAATGGTAATCAATACGCTAAAAAAAAAGGGAACCCTAATGGAAGCAAGTTTTGAATGATGGTTGTTTTACATGTGCAATCAGTTTGGAGTTTGTTTTTTAAAATGTGCCACTTATGAAAATAGAACCAAATCAATTACATAAATAAAATATAAAATAATAATAAACTTAAAAGCTCAAATTTCCCCACTGGGAAAAAAAGAAAGAAAAGAAGTGTCCAAAAACAGACCAGACTGACTAGGTTAGGCTGCAGCTGTTGATAAAAAGAATCTTATTTCAGTGTTTCAGTTTTAATTCTCCGTTTACATTAATATAATGTAACATTTAATTCGATTCTAATATGGGACAGCGATTCTAACACATCTACACATCCATCAGCGACGCACATAAACACTGTAACATAAGTAAACACGATTCGCAATTAAAGAACTACACAAGCGCATATTACGCACAACCAAACTCACAGTTTAATGCCTCCCAAATCGATCCAGACATTGCCAGGACGATGCGCTCTTCTGAATGATGCTGAAACTGTGCAGTTTTTCCCTCTCGCGCTTGAATAAATGACGACGCTCTGTTCTGCATCAGATACGCGAGGAGAGCATGACGCGCGCGCGGAGTACAGGTCACGTATTGATTTACTTTGATGTGCATCTCATTTTTCCAAAACATCAACTAGTATTTTAGAGATTTCAGATGCTTTGCTTTCTTTGCTTTTTCATTGCATCTGCACGCTAGAAGGGATTTAATTTTGTGAACACAGGTTTAAAATCCTTAATTTAGCTAATACTTAACGTTATATATTTTATCTGAATAGACTGGAATAAGTTTATTAATATAATATATCCCACCCACTAACAGGTGCAGTGATGAAGAGATAATCAGTGTTATTCACCTGTCAGTGGTCATAATGTTATGCCTGATCGGTGTACATTTTCCATTCACAATTACAACTTAAGATCAATAACTGTTATTGTTATTATTATTATTTAATGCTCTAAAGTCTGGCTTATAGAAAATGTTGAATTTAGTAATTAATATCACCTTACGAATCCATATGCATGTTGGCTTTTAGCTTATGTGCAGCTTCACAATGAGTTTGGATCTCATTAAATCGACTTTATCTGTCATATTAAAGTTGTTAATGGTACAATGGCAGGGCTTTGGTTGCCTAGTAACCAGTAATGACTGTCAGCAGCACCTGAGCTGATGGTTAGTAAAGTGAGACGGATTACTCTCAAAACACTGGAGCCCACAGCAAATGTGGTTTCTATATTTCGCATGAAGAATAATGAACATATTTCATGCATTGACTCCACATAGTGTTCTCAATGTGTTATATTAATATGATATAAACAGATCTATCAATCTGTGTCTCCTCACAAAAACACCTGACTCGGAGCATGCTGGTCCAATCACAGAGAGGCTGTGGGCAGCTGTCTGCTCCATCTGTCTGCTGTCGGTTCGAGTGCTGAGCGCCGGTGCTCTTTAACTCTGTGAGTCTGGCTGTGTGTTCACTGTCTGTCTCTCTCTCTCTCTCCCTCCGTCTGTCTCTCTCATGGCCTCCGAGCACTCATCCGCTGAGAGTCGCTCCTCGCACCTGAGCTCTGACCCGACCACCGGCACCGAGGCTTCGGCCAACAGCATGTGGGAGGACAGCTTCGACACAGAGAAGTAAGACTCATCCGCTTCACCTGCTTTTCTCTAACACCACACAACAACTCTGAACAGTGTCTGGACAACTACTCACACTCACAGACGATTAGATGCAACACACATGTCTATAATGAACAAATAAAGCCTTAATTAATCACTTCAGGTGCATTTAATTAGAAGCTCTCCAGAACCAGGAATGAAGAACTATGACAAAATATCAGCGTAAGAAAAGAAAGTGCAAAATTAATTTTTAATGCAAAACATTTAACAAAAAGATAATTGGGTAACACTTTACAATAAGGATCCATTAGTTAATTACATTAGCTAACATTATGTTAATTTCAACATTTACCAATATATTAATACAATCAAAAGTTATATTTGTTCATATTATTTAATGGGCCTGAACTAACAATGACAAATCATTTTAAAAAGTTTATTAATCTTAGTTCATTTTAATATCAACATTTACTAATACAGTATTAAAATTAAAAGTTGTATTTGTTAATATTATTTAATGCATGGGTCTGCACTAACAATGAACTGCTGTATTTTTAATAACTAACATTAACTAATATTAATAAATACTATAACAAATGAATTAGTCATTGTTAATTAATGCTAAAATAAAAGATGTATTTGGCCATTTTTTGGTTGCTAAAATTAAGTTTGAAGGTAAAGCAGTAACATTCAAATCTTAAATGTCGCTAATATAGTAAAATAGCAATGCATTGGTTTATTGATGATTTTAGCAGTAACTGATCTCTCAGATGGTTCTCAGGGTTTTATTTTGAGAAAAAGACCCTATAGAAATCTCATCTTTGTCTCAAACATTTCTCATCAGGTTCTCCACGTTCATTTGATAGTTCTATACTTGTACTGTACGACAACTACTGACCCATGTGTGTTTGTTCATTCCTCCTAAAGCATTATCTACCTCTCAGAGAAACCTCTGAGACAAACCGAGTTTGAAAAGCCCATCCATGAGCATGAAATAATTCCTCCTGGTTTGTTTAACACATGCAGCCTTACACTTCTTTTGACTCTTAATTAAAGATAAATAACCTGCAAGAAACCAGCGGGGGTTTCGCTTGTGCTTAAATGCTTAAAACCCCTAAATGAACTCAAAAACTATTTGAAAATCAAGCAAAAGCAACATGGATCACTTCCTGTTGATTAAAGCTTTAGATTGGATGGACAGTTGCTTAATCAGCATTATAAGCCCAATTGCGTATGATTTGATTTGACTTGAATTATTTATATCTGGAACACAAACAGTGCATAATGAGTTACACAATTAAGTTTAATACTTTAAACTTAATTAATAGCGATGCTTGACTTACACTACTGTTCAAAATGGTTGATGAGACTCACCAAGGCTGCATTTGTTTGATCAAAAATACAGTAAAATCTGTAAAATTGTGAAATATTTTTATAATTTCAAAAAGCTGGTTTCTATGTGAATCTCTGTTAAACTGTAATGTATTTCTGTGATGCGCAGCTGAATTTTCAGCATCATTACTCCAGTCTTCAGCGTCACATGATCTTCAGAAATCAGTATAATATTTGCTGCCCAAGAAACATTTCTGATTATTATCAATGTTGAAAACAGTCGTGCTGCACAATATTTTTGTGGAAAACGGGATGCATTTTATTTTTCAGGATTCACAGATGAATAGAACGTTCAACGGAACAGCATTTATTTGAAATAGAAAGACTCACCAAGGCTGCATTTGTTTGATCAAAAATACAGTAAAATCTGTAAAATTGTGAAATATTTTTATAATTTCAAAAAGCTGGTTTCTATGTGAATCTCTGTTAAACTGTAATGTATTTCTGTGATGCGCAGCTGAATTTTCAGCATCATTACTCCAGTCTTCAGCGTCACATGATCTTCAGAAATCAGTATAATATTTGCTGCCCAAGAAACATTTCTGATTATTATCAATGTTGAAAACAGTTGTGCTGCACAATAGTTTTGTGGAAAACGGGATGCATTTTATTTTTCAGGATTCACAGATGAATAGAACATTCAACGGAACAGCATTTATTTGAAATAGAAATCGTTTGTAACATTCTAAATGTCTTTACTGTCACTTTTGATCAGTTTAATGCGTCCTTTGAGCCGAGAGCTGAATCCTTCACAACCAGCTCTCTGTCTTTCAGTCATGGTGTGAGCACTAAGAGAGATTACTCTCCTGTGTCCTGGAGCGAATACTTTGAAATGATGGACGATGTGGTCATCGGGTCAGGAGAGACTAAGGATATATCCTTCACACACACACACACGGCTCTTTGTGTGGATCAGAGATCACAGTTTGTGTGTGTATGGTAACAGATGTGTGTATGACTATTATTCCTTGACTGAGGTGTGTGTGCACGTGTTTCGTGTGTATAAAAGTGGTCAGGACGGACCACTGCTGGTTCTGCTTCACGGAGGAGGGCATTCGGCTCTGTCCTGGGCCGTTTTTACGGTACAAACACACACATAAACTATATCTTGGTTTAGAACAGAGCCTGTATACGTCAGAATTGTCAACTTTCTGCTATTATTTATATTATATAAAGATAATTATGAATGTAAACAAACTATACCTAAAAAAATCCATAAATTTATGTGTATGACGTCACACAGAAACGTTCACTTTTAAGCAGGTAAAATGCATCAGTGACTCTGAAGAAGGACGCAGCATTATTACTCACACCAGCAAAGCAGTGTACTATTAACAATTCGTTTTTGTTTTTATATTTTCTGTTTTTCAGTTTTTTCCCCTACATTTTAATTTTATTTAACATTTTAGTTTTTAGTTGTTTTTGTCATTTTCGTTATTTTTTTTATATTTTGAAGTAGTTTTTACTTTGTATTTTCCATTTCCATTTTAAATTTTGTTGTGTTTTTGACATTTTTATTAGTTATTGTTTTTTTTATTTTGAATGAGATTATTTTTGGATTTTACATTTCCGTTTTAATTTTAGTTAACATTTTAGTTGTGTTTTTGTCACTTTTATTTTTTTTAATATTTTTAGTTTAATTTAATTTTGTATTTTAATTTTTTAAGTTTAATTAAATTTTGTATTTTCCATTTTTATTTTAAAATTAGTTTGTGTTTTAGTAGCTTTGTTTTGTGTTTTTGACATTTTTATTTGTTATTGTTTTTTAATATTTTGAATTAGTTTTATTTTTGCATTTTACGTTTTCATTTTATTTTAGTTAACATTTTAGTAATTTTGTTGTTTTTACCATTTTTGTAAGTTATTTTTTTTAATAGTTTGAATTTTTTTATCTTGTATTTGCCAGTTCCATTTGAATTTGACCCTATCAGTAATCTTGTTTGTTTGTGACATTTTTATTTATTTTAATATTTTAGTTAAAGATTTAGTAATTTTATTTTGTTTTTGTCTTTTTTGATTAGTTACTGTTTTCCCCTATTTTTTTGTCTATTGTTTTTATAAATGTTTTATTTCAGTTTTAGTTATTTTAGTATAACTCAGGTTTTATTTATACATATTCTTTTTTCATTTTGTTTTCAGTTAATATTTATTTTAAGACAAAACAAAAATGTTTGGTAAAGTTTACTTGAAGCCTTTATCTATAATGCATTATAAAGTTATGTTTATTGTCATGCATTATATATTTTTAGAAATAATTGTATATTGCATTAAAATATTTGCAAAATCTTATCAGAAATGTAGCTTTTTTCCTCCATGGGCTAAAAAAATAAAAAGTGAGTTTTTATGTCAGGGGTGCTGTAAAGGATCCACATGTAAAGGCAGTCCGTTAGAATCAGTCTCTTTATTGAAGACACAAAACAATGCAGTCTGTCGTACGACGACACAGAACTGGATGAAACACAATGAAACACAAAACGACCGGGGATGGTCGGGTTCCGAGGACTCCCGTCTTGGAGAGAGCTCGTATGGGCTGGGCTCACTGGAAGCAGCCACCGGGCACCGAGAACACTAAGACGAGCAAAGCACACTAAGCAAGACAAGACATGGTCAGAACTCTGAAAGTATCGACATGAACGGCCAAACAATACCGTATGCATGTCACACAATAATCCAACAGAGAACAGTGAGCCCAACCACTAGAAATAGAGTGACTAATAGATCAGAGTGGAAACAGGTGTCCCCGCAGAGCAGCACACACGCTGATTGTGATGACAAACAGGTGGATACGTGAGAGAGCATCCGGCTTGAGATTCTTAGAACCGGGTCTAAACGAGATCGAAAAATCAAAGCGGCCGAAAAAAATTAACTTTCTCGTCAAGGGAAGAGCGTTGCGACTATATAGCTCCTACCCCGACGTCGGAGGCATCAACCTCAACAATAAATTGTCACTCGGGATCAGGGGTAATAAGGATGGGCGCTGAGGTGAATAATCCCTTGAGCCGATCGAACGCACTCTGCGCAGCCTCGGACCAAGCAAATCGAGTCTTGGACGAGGTGAGGAAAGTAAGAGGAGTGGCGACTTGACTAAAGTTACGGATAAACCGGCGGTAAAAATTAGCAAACCCCAGAAACCGCTGGAGCGCAACTCGAGAATCTGGAACGGGCCAATCAATGACAGCACGAACCTTGTCAGGGTCCATGCTGATCCCCTCCGCCGAAACCACCGAACCGAGAAACGTGACGGATTGGGCATGAAACATGCACTTCTCTGCCTTAACAAACAGGCGGTTCTCGAGCAAACGCTGCAAAACTCGGCGGACATGCTGTTCGTGTACCTGAAGAGAAGGCGAAAAGATAAGAATGTCGTCCAAATACACAAACACAAAGACATTAAGCATATCTCTCAAGACGTCATTAACTAAGGCCTGAAAAACCGCGGGGGTGTTGACCAGCCCTAACGGTAAAACCCGATACTCAAAGTGGCCAATAGGGGTGTTAAACGCCGTTTTCCACTCGTCTCCCTCCTTAATACGTACCAAGTGGTAAGCATTGCGTAAGTCTAGCTTTGTGAAAATCCTTGCGCCCTGTAAGATCTCGAAGGCCGACGACATAAGAGGCAAGGGATAGCGATTCTTGACTGTTATGCCGTTCAGCCCCCGATAATCGATACAGGGACGCAAGGACCCATCCTTCTTTTT